TGAGCTAGACTCATGCTTCTTGACGAAAACGAAAACAGTTGTGAACGATTTCTATTGCAAGGGTAATTCAGTGGGATTTGTTGCAAATTTGGGAAAGAGATTTCATCTTCAAAGGATAAAGGATCAAATCTTCGCCGTTGATCATCCCTTTGTGGGATGCGGCACGCATTCTACTTCCATTCAGAATCGTAGTGGCTTATTGAATGCGATGTGGCCTATACAATGACTTGCGGGGGCCAGCCGATGTACAAGTCAGTGTTTTATCCTCCCAGACGAATCTGGTACCAATTTACCGTCCCCGGAGGGTAGAAGGCTTGGTTGACCTGGGCGGGAGTCGACCCGGATTTTGAACATAGGGCCGCGAGTTCACTTTCAAAAGACTACTCAGCCTTGTCTCGAGGAAATGCGGTGAGCAGTTTTGAAAATCGGAACCGCTTTCCTTCTATACCAAAGATCCACAACGTTCTGCGGACTTGTTCAAGTTGGATTAACTCAGACGCGTACCAACGAACACTTTTCGAATAATCGCTATTGTTAGGTAGCACCGGCCTTGCTAGCGCAGTTGTTGGGCTACCTAGCGATCTCTTAATTCTGCCTATAATTTTAGAATCTGCCAAATGTGCCTTGTTCGGCAGGAAGTTTGGCCAGGCAAAGCAGAATACTAACCGTGCAATTTATATTAAAGTACTGTAGCGTCTCCCAAAACCTTCGACGAAGATGCCAACGGCCAGAAAATTGTGCTAGATATTCTCGGACAACCACGCGCTCGGCTGTGAGTGACAGTATACACAATTCTCAGTTGTGAGGACGTGGGGAGGGAGTGGGCCTGCCGAAGCAGTTTCTACGGCTGGATATCCTTCGAACCTGTGTCCCCTTTTCATGGCATTAGAGGTGATGTCCCTTCAAAAAATCTTGGTGTTAGGCCTTACTCAAATTACTTGGCCATGCGTTTTGACTTAGTCAAGTGATAATCGATTGGACTCGTACAGCCGAATGGCTGTCATGAAGTTCTATCGATTATCACTTGCTATGCTCTAGAACAAAAACCACACGTCTTTCTGCAGTGCTTTTCCATGAAGGGAAGCATCTCGTTGTTCGAGTCCACAGTCTCCCAGTTCCTTATGCTTTGCACACATAGGACAAGAGTCTTTCCCGACATTATTCCCATATAAATAACTAATTAACTTAATTAACTTACATCATTGCAGAAATGAGATAGGAAGTAACAGAAATCTAAAAAAATGGTCAGCCTTCTCTACCTTGACTTGCGCCCTTCGGTGAGCAGTAATTGAGAAGCATTACAATTTAAAGAGTGCGTAGAAGATCATTGTTAACGTCGGCCGCTGTAAGGACACCCTATTCACCATTCCCAGAGCTTATATTATGCGCATAGACTCTTTCACACTCTGCTATCTCCGCGTAACTCACAGTTGCCCCTCTTTATTCAAGGATGAGTGGAAAAGTTCCCATAAATTGCCACAGTTGACTAAATATTAGTTTCCACTTATCTCTGCTACTCGGAGAACGTTTGCAGTTATTTGTACTTTGAGTAAACGTCAACCGTTCAAACAACACCTAAAAATAGGAGAAATAGGTGGCTCACTAAGAATATTTGTTTTGGCTCTTGCATTCTATTATTTGGAGCGACAAGTATCGGAGGTAAGAAGCAGTCTCACGCGAAGAACTTCTGTATTCGTCCGGAAGCTTATAGAGGGGCTTCCTAGTATCCTCAACATACTGCTGCCCGCATCCCAAACACGCGTCTAGTATGCTGTCCTTTTGGATCGACATACATATTTCAATAAAAATTACAGCAGGTCTCGGTATACGATAGGTAAAAAAACTAGGTTTCCTCATAGAATCCACAGTTGCTCTTCGATCAAAGGGAGTCCATCTCCAGGGTAAGGGCCAGAAAAAAGACACTTTTCTTCCTCGACTTTCGAGGCGATATAAGTTACACTTTATTAAATTCTGATTGGACATTTCCACCATCATATTCAACAACACATTGTACACTATCACGAAACTCCGCCACAGCCTTCTGGACGAACGCCATCGAGAGATTCTGCCACGCACCGTGATTCGGTGCCTGAGTTCAGCGAGGCCATTGATTTCTCCGCCACTGTAGACCATCCTGTTGAGCTCCGCTTGAGGTTCAGGTCAGGTGACACAGATATTCCGTCTTCTTCAGGTACTCAACGCCCTTCGATTCCGTGTAGACGAGAGTTCATAACGCCCTCGGATTCCACGTGCTGGGCACAAAATCCTGTAGCAGTACTAAATTTTCAAGAATTTTTCAAGATGGTACAGGCGACGCATAAAGGCAGGATATTCTCCTCGAGTTGGTCGATGTAACCGTCAGCATTCACTTCAATCCGGGGTCCACGAAGAAAATATCGATCTTCTCATTCCAGGAACTTCCGGTCCATTGAGAAACATCCTGGGTATCTTCCACCCTTGTATTACCACGTCTTCTCTCTGGGCTGCGTAAGGTTCACCGTGACTCGGCCAAAATATCATTATTGTCCCCCCTGTATACAATGCAAATAGCAATTGGAGAACATCGTGCCATACTGTAGGTAGGTTAGAAGAGACGCCTCTCCTTCCTCGGAGTGATGCAGGCTCTTCTATACAAGCCGGTGCACCACGCATTCTTCTACGAACTGGTGAGCGAGTGAGGGCTAAGTACCACAGTTGAGAGATTCGTACTTGCTATCTTCGGTGGAAATCTTTTGTGAAATAGGGGGTCCATTAGAAGCTGTTTTCTCAGTCGTCTCCATAGTTGAGCAAACATTGAACCGCCACTTTGTATTTGTTGTTCTGAAACGCGGAAGTGGTGAAGCAGCAGCCTACCTGGAATAATTGCTAGGATCGTCTGCTAGCGTTTGTTCGCCCTTTGGGTAAATATAAACAATTTAAACAATGTATATGAATGGGTCGCTTCATGAATATAAACTCCTCACTCGTAGTAAATGTCAACATTCCAGCAGTCTCATCTCGATGGAAAACGAATGCATGCTCCGTTCAAGCCCTGCACACACCAAAAAAACCTTTTAGAGATCCTCCTATACACGGCAGCTTTAGTGGCGATAAGGAAACCCTTTGGATTGCGTGGCGCTTGAGCCGTACAATTAGTTGTAACTTCAAATGATAACATTACTGCGGATCACAGTAACTTTTTAGTCCACGTTGTTTCACAAGAAGAGTGTCCATTATTGATCGGCTGATCGTTTCCATGCTGTCATCCAAAAAGCACCATCTTTGACTAAATCGACTAATGAACCTTATGAAATACGATAAAGTGTCTAACCTAAAAAATTCTTTACATGGAAATGTATGCCTCCAAGCACGTCCGTGATCGCTACCTTCAGTAGGATACACGGCACATTCCAACACTTTTTCCTTTGAACGCTCTTATATCTCGTTATTGAGTAACTTTATCTCTAGTAACTTTTACTTTTTTGCTAATGTGTATTCTAGTTGATCGTTTCTTTTTTGTGAAGGAGCACCTTGAGTGCAATATTAAATAAATAAATATCTAAACGCTTCCGAGGACGTGTTAATCTCCTGACCTTCCAGAGAAAAATCGTCTCCTCTGACAAACTTCCAAAAGCATACGATTATGAATGGATTAGAAAGCTCTAACAAGTCCAGTGCTACTCTAGAAGCAAGCTGTAACAAAGTGTTAAATATTTATTTATGAATATATTACAAAATATTGCAAAGAATCTAGGAAAGCAAACAGATGGACAGCTGTTGTGCGACAGCCAATGCACTACTGCAGGCAAAAAATCACTTCATGCGACTAGCTTAATAGGGCAGCTAATTCCTCATTGAGAAGAAATGACAACAACTGGAAGCCGTTCGTCAGTGAATATAACAGTGACTAGTAAATATGATCTTGGAATCTTGAGTCGGTCTTGCTGAAACTTCCGCACTTCTGCTGCGCTGCAAATGACTTTATCTATAAGACCGACGCACTGCCCCATTGAGTGGACTGCAAATCGGCTCAGGGGGCTCGGAGGAGAAAAGCCTCGGGAAAGTGGTAGGGAGTTGGGGGAATTTTGGGAGAATGGTACATATCTGGAAGCAAGAATATGTCCCATTCTCCCAAAATTTCCCCAACTCCCTACCACGTTCCTGAGGCGAGTGAGGGATGAGCAAGAGGAAGGGGTTGTAGCAGAGGAAGAAATTTCGAGGGAGTAGACGTGTTTTGCAAGCATTTTCCCTAGCGGCAGGAGGCGGCTTCAACGTCATAGTCCCAGAAGGTCTCAATGAAGCAGCGATTTGAATAATGAGGGTAACCCTCTGCGTTCTACTCCGACGTCAGCCTAATCTCTAAGAACTGGCCAAAGAGACACAGCCGTACGATAGACTAGAGCGCAAATTAGCCCCTCCGTGCCGGTTCCACGTGTATGTAGAACACTGTAGTATGTTCAGCCATGGCACAGCATCGTGATGTTGAGATGATGGTGCCACTACCACCTGCCGCCTCGAGGAGCAGCTCTCGGTACGACACCCCCCACAAAAGAGAGCCTCGGTAAGACCCCCCTCCCAACATCTACCTACCAATTGCGCACATTTTCCAGGTTTTCACCCAAACATTTTCCGTCGAGCCGGAGGGAGAGAGGAATATAGCCAATAAAAACGGGAAAAACTGCGAAAAGTCAACAACCGAGAAAAATTTTTTCTCAACGCCGGCAAATTTCTCTCAAAGCCACATACGACCCCCTCCCTCTCCCAACAACGACCTTAATACGACCCCCCCCCTCAACAGCAGCCAAGTGCGACCCCTCCCCTGTTTCACGCAACGATGTGCAGCACTCCTATAATGATAAAGCTTTCGCAACGCAGCAGAATACACGTCGTCCTAGAACTTGTAGGCTGGACTTCCGCAAGAGTCGACGAGAGCTGAGCGATCAACAGTAAGCGACAATATGCCGAATTTAAAACAGAGAAATGAAATGCAGACTAGAAAAGAGGCCACAAATGGATTTCGGCTAATGACTAGAGACTTCTGGGCCCAGGTATTGACATGAATTATAATTTGTGTTCAGGGGTAACGTTCCTTGAAAAGGTGAGGCGTTAAGCGAATTACTGAGATTGTCCATCAGCTTCAGCTTGTCCTGTTGTTGCAGTGACTGATTCAATGATGACGGAAGAGCTTGAGTAGTGCTGGAAAATTAAAAGATTCAAAAAAATACAGCAGATAAAAAATGAGGCTCAGAAAGGTTTGGGTGTAAGAATCAGGAGTAGTAGTTAACTGTTCGTGTTGATCAAACGATTCGGTATACTTGGTTCCAACACCCGATTACCAACTGAATTCAATGTTTCCGTGCAGAAAGGTAGAATCGACAGCAACGAGCAAACTCGTATAAGTTTCGCCTCAAAGAGCAGTACATTGCAGCGTTGAGGCGCAATGTTGCTCGAGACTTTGCTGTCACCCTCCGTAAAACTGCCTAATCTGTCGTGTTGAAAATGGGCGCACTTCGGCGACGGGGGGGGGGGATTTTGCACTTTTCCTACTCCCATCAACGTTTCGACTCGTCCAGATAGCCTCTTCTCGAGCTGACAGGTTTTACAATGGCTCGACGAGCTTGCTCAGGTTCTTAAGAGTTCACAGGTTTCACCAGAGTGAGACTTGTAAACCAGAACTAGTGAAGCAACGAAAGTGCTAAATGCACCCCCCCCCTCGCCGAACTGCGCTTTGAAATTATCGCTCTAACATGCATCTTGCAATCAGTTAGTTGGCGTCATGCTATTATATGTGGGTTACTGACATTTGCTGGAGCAAATCGTACCATAGAAGCAGTTATGTAAGGCTGCAGTGAGCCATGCATGTGCATTGTCGAGATCAAACCGATGGTCTTAGGCGGTGCGGGCCGACCAAATTCTGGCTGAGGTTCCAGATTTTTCATCCTCAATTTGTCTTCCAATTTTCTGAGCCACATAGACGAAATAGTAAAACCTCTAGCTGATTTCAGAGGTGGTGTCGCATCATACTCACCCACCATGGATAAAGTCTATGAAATAATTAGTAAACTACCAACCAAACTTTCATCCTTTCAGGTCGTTGTACGCGATACTGTGTGGTTCCAGAACGCTGCGTATGAGAGTTCTGTTTCACTTTGCGAACGGAGAGGTGTGGAAATGCTGGAGTGCAGTGCAGCCACAGCGGTCTTCCCACCAGCGATCCCATCCTCTCCAAACGGGTGGACGAGGCTACCCTGGCTGCACTCCTTGCACGTCTTCTGTTTGAAGGGATAATGACTGTACATTGGCTCACTTCCCGTAAGTTATTGTGATGGCCAACCACGTATCAATGCGCCACTGCGAATATTACGAAGACGTGCTATAAAAGGGATCCACTGTCCCCTAGAGCATCTTATCTTTACTAACGAAACACCAGAACTTCAGTTTTAGTGAGCAAAGTAGTAATCTTACCCTGGCATTGATGGCCAAAGCAGGACATAGGCCGGAAAAAAAAGGGGAGGGGGGGGGGGAGGAAGAAAATCGGTTTGTCTGGGACATCACAGGCAACGTCGACGCAAACTGCAATGACATTTGTCAGTTCTGGGAAGCCAGAGATTGAAACTGGAGCTAGAGAAAGTTCAAAAATGGTTGTGATGTGGCCGCAGGCCAAAAAAGCTAAATACAAAAGAATCTGATACGAAGTTCTACGTGCTTTCGTTGACAACAATGGAATGGACTTCGTATCAAAAAAGTACGGATTTAGTGATCGAAAGCTGCTCAGATGGACTTTCGTTAACTTTTGGGCCACAGGTAATTACGGCGAAATGAGGCTTGAACCTGATTTTCATTGCCAATTGAAGGCGTGTCTGCCCGCCTCTTGGTTGGTAGTTTTGGCTGTCTGCCAGCCGCCACCGTACCCATAGAATGAACTCGCATCATCTATCTGAATGTTGGTGATTTTAATAAGCAATGTCGAATGTTTCTTCAATAGTGATAGGTAAGCTAGTTTTGGAAAACTGGAGCACTCCAAAAGGCAGAAAAACCCTGGTCCTTTCATCAGTGAGCATGAGCACAGTATGAATCGTGAGTAATTAAGAAGAGAATGAACAGATAGATGGATTCTGCTAGTTCTGCGATGATAAAGCGAGATTCCAGTGGACTAATAGAAAAGGTCTAATTCGAAGAGAAAGAGCTTCTGGTGTTGCTGGTGCGAGACACAGCATGTTCTGTTTATTGTCGTGTCAGGAGAAGAGAGGCTGCTGGTGGAAAGTAAACATTGAAGTGAGACGATTTCTGGAGAGATGCCTAGCCAGGCACCATTCGAGCGCCAGAAGCCCAATTTGGACTGAAGGTCAATGAGGTCCCCAACACTACGTTCAGCGCTGCATATAACTGTCTGGACACTACATCACTGGCTTAATCTGGACCTTGACTAGCCATTATCGGTTACGGGAAAAAGGTCCTGGAGTCGGGCCAATAACTCTTCCAGCAAAGTTGTTCATCCATAGAATCCCGAAGTATGCAGTAGTAGCGCCGAAAATCAGAAAAACCGTTCTAGGCCTTCTCACAGAGCTCTTTAATGGGCATGATCAGTAGACTTGGGCTCGCGGTTGATATAAAGAAATCATCTCTTTGAACCGGTCAGAGAAGCTGTCACAATGTTCGTTCTATAACAGCAAGGAAGCACTCATACGGAAAACTGTCCATACCTGTCCCGGAGCGTGTAGAAGCGATTGAGAGAAACTGTTTTGAAGGCTGCCAAGACCCAGCCCAGTTTGGAGTCCACCGATGGCACTCATTGATGAGCCAAGCGTGGTGCTGAGTCCTTTCGAATCCACATAGTTTCGCTCACGTTTACGCCATTTTGCTCGGCGATTCTTGAACCAAACCTAAAAGTGGGTGATTTCTACTCAAGGTGGTAAAAAAGGGCGAATTGCACACAGGGAGGTACCCACTGGGGGAAAAACTTCTACTACTTCCCTCGAAATCTTTTCCTCTGATGCGACTTCTACGACCATCCGCCATCCCCCTACCATCTTCCTGAATTTTCTCAACTTCCCAGTTTACTTTCTTCAGCGATCAAATACTTCCCTATTGCTATGGATCCCCAGCCCACTAGTGCCCTGTACTACCTATTGAATGGGCATATCTTACCCCAAGGGAGCTATCTTACCAGAGAATTGCAGTAAGGCGTAATTGTGGGTACGAACGCAGGTCACTTAACCATCAAACCCTTGAGACTAACCTATTTTTGTCGCTGACAAGTTACTACTTTGTTTGCTGCGGACACTGAGACGTATGAGGGGTCTGGGTTTGCCACTGCGCCAACCCGTTCGACCGAAACTGTCGAAGAGGGCAAGCGACAACAATTGAGGGAAAACGGGCTGGCACCGTGAAAAGCCCTCTGACCCGCCTTGGTAAGAACTTAGAAGTTTCACTAAAGTAAGACGTGTAAGATAATAGGAAGCACCAAAAGAAATTAGAGAACGCGCAGGGTGCCACTCTCAAGCCGAATAGCGCCGACTTCTTGAAACGTTGGACGGCATTGTTCAACAATGTTAGTTGAAAACGCCATTGTTTGAAACATTGAGGGAGAAATTGCAAAGGAAAATTCGCCTCCGTTTATACGAGCCCTTAGAGGACAGGCAAACTGATTAAGGTCTGCCTCTTTAGTGCTCGTCAGTAAGCACAAGTGTAGAAGGACAAAATGGACAGTTCATGCTTCTACTGCAAAATGAGAACGTGAAATCATTTTTGTCGACACAGTACCCCAGAGTACAGTAGTATGAAAGTAAAAACATTCGTAAAGAGGCCATGTTAGAAGGAAACAACGTTAGCCAGCTGACACGAAGACATCAGACCATCCCAGAGATATGTCGTTTCCCCGGGGAATGTGGGCGCCAATTACAGGCGTGAATAGAATGTGCTAATGGGAAACATGTAGCGGCTAATTGAAATTGTTCGCCGAACATCCATCACGACAGAAATCAACCCGAGCCAGACGGGGTGAATTTGGATTTAGGTGATTGAAATTTGGTAGAGGAAATTTTAATTCATAGAGATGATTATGGTATACATTTCGCTGGGATGCGCCATGCATGTGCATTGCATCAAGTGGAAGCCGGTAGTAGAAACCAATAGCGGCTCACCAAGCTCTAACTGAGATTCCCGACTTTTCGCCAAGTAATTTTTCTCATGAAGTAAAAAAGGGAAGGAGATGATATGAGACAGGGAAATGATAAAAGACATCAAGTGGTTCGTTTTGCCCCTATTTAAACGAACTTCATTCTGTCTCAAGAGGTTCCTTCCTCAGTGAGGGGGTGGCTAGACAGAATGGGTAAGATCAAGAAAAGAATTCAACCCTAATTAGCAGGGTCCAGGGCACATCATTAGTTGGAGATCGAGTCCGTATGATTCCCCCCTTCTCAGGAGGTTGGTACGACTCCCTCCCCCTTTCATCCGCCTACCCTGACTTCCCCAACTTCCTACCACTTTTTACCAATTTTTCCAGAATTTCCAAACAATTTTATACTTTCACCCAGATACTTCGAAAGGATTTACCTTCTTTTACCCGAATATTTTGCTTTCGAGCGACGAGTAAATAGTAGTACACGTGAAACATGAAAAACCTTAATAGTCAGCAATCCCTCTCAGAAAATTAGAAGAGAAATGCGACCCCCCCTCTCCCGAAGGCGAGATACTGACGCCCTCTGCTCCCTGCTGGCGTATCCCCAAACAACGATGTGCCTAGCAGGGTCCTCGACAGAAGTTTTTTAAACGACACAGACGAATCAGAAAAATATTGGCTGATTTTAGGATACACCCACCAACCCATAGATTCTCTTTAACAGAGACTTGACTTCAAAATCCCACCACTGCATTACCCACTTCATTATCCTTTGAAGTCACTGGGAGACATCCTAACATGGTAGTTGAAATGTTAAAACCCTTTCTTCGAAAAAATAATATTTGCTTGGTAACGTCGCTGCGTCAATTCATTGAAAACCCATTTACAATGCAAATATTGGATGGTATCGTTTAACGAAAATCCCTTCTATAGTGCAGTGAAATCGCCATAATGAAAATCTCCAACGTACTCGAACTCTCGGCTCAGTCAAGCTTATCCAGATGGCGATTTCTTCTCGTGTTGCCATATCTGGATAGCGATTTCGTGCAAACCAGTTCTCAAGGCTTCAGTTCAGCTGCAAAGGAACATGCCCATAAAAGTGACATAAGTGATTTCTGAGTAGAAATCAGAGAATCTGGGCCATTTCATGAAGGGTCTCGTTCGACAACTATGTTTTCTTACGATGAACCTTCTACGAATGTTTCGGTAATGGCTGCCGGACCGTGGACAACTTTCAGGTCTTTTTTCGAATTTCAAGAAAGCCAAATTTGATTGATTTCTCTAACTGTGGAACGAAATGTGAATATGGCTTGTAGTGCAATGTGCTCTGCCCCACAAAGCCTGGGTTGTGTGTGCCGCCTGGAGGGGGCATTTGGTACCATTGCCAGTTCTTTTTGTCAGTTCATGCTAAGTAACAGCTCCCATTTTGGTAAGACCTGTAAGCTCCTGTGGAGCTGCGAAGTGTTGCGAGTGGACCATTTGCACCATTCCGCAGTTCACAGAAATATACAGGTGGTCTGTACAAGTTCAGCTATGTACCATATGGTGCCCCCACCAAGCCGAACAGCGCCTGAAACCTCAACTCAGCTCACCCCACAAAACCCCTATCCTCCTGAAAACTTTGCAAGTACCTCCGGAGAAAACAGCAAGCCACAGCAGCAGCATATTTCAAGGTCCTATAGAGTCAGTCTATGGCTCTTCCGGGCAACTTCAGAGAGCGAGAGAAACTCCAAATTCCTCCATCCTATCCTGTAGGCTATGGGGCATAGGTTTTGAGGGTTCCCAAGGGTTTTTGGGCAAGTGTTCCCTCACCCTGCACTAACAACCAGTTCAGCAATTTGTTGACCAGCAGAGTGTCCAAGTCACGACAAGTCGCGAACCAAGGACGATTCATTCTTCGTGTCATTCTGCTGCGAGTAAGGTCCGAGGACCAAGCAGTTTCACGGACACCAAAAAGGGGTAGAAGCTAAAGGTCTGAAATAAGGACAGGTTCATAGACCTGGAGAGCATTCGTTTAAAGCTTTTTACACTCGTTATCAATTCTATGTTCATTTCGTATCTAGGAATATTCAAAGATCCGAGTCGTAGTTACAGTAAGCCTACCTGATGGCTAGTAAAGTGTGTCCTCTGGCGACGGGGTTTATGGGTTTTCGTGGAAGTAGTCGGCGAGATGGCACTGCCACTGTCGTCCCTTTCG